TGATAAATCGAATGTTATATGTGATAAATCGAATGTTATATGCGATAAAATCAACCATAAAACAAAAATCGAATTATGACACAAACAACATGCCATAGGCTGTATGCATTCAACTTCGGAGATAACCGAGTTCGTGCGTCACGTACACTGACGTCACGCGAATACTGTTTCATTTCATGGAAACATATGCCGACCGAACGAAAGTAAAACCAAAACGGGTAGCTCCCTCTTCCTATCGTTTTATCCTATGAGGTATTGAGCATTTTGAAGGTGTGTGTTTAGATCCATCTTCCTATAGTTTTATCTTATGAGGTGTTGATCATTATGAAGGTCTGTAATTATTTATTACTATGATTCATTATTATATATACTTATAATTATTAAGGTCTTTACGATTGAAAGGTCTGTCATTATAAACCCTGATCCTATCAACGCAGATTGTTCAAATCAGGATAGTTACTTACAAAACGGACTCCCTCATTTTGCTGCGTACTCTTATTTGTATCCCTGGTATAGTGTACGCAGCTACAGTATTTTGAAGTATTTTATGACATGGCACTGCATGTGTGATGTGTTTATTGAGAAATGCTGGATGTACAGGAAAGACCAGAAATGATTATAAAGGCTGAAACGATATTTCATTCATACTATTACTAGATCACGGTGATACATGTAGTTGGCGACAACTGCCCTTTCTATTTTTTTGTTCAGGAATCTTGATGTGTCCTTTCTATTTCTGCAAAAAAGTGTTCTTAATTTTTTTGGGGGGGAGGGGTTTGGCATTATAATATATGACTTTTTTCAAGCAACTAGTCAACAACCAAGTTCTGCTGTGAATTATTGAAATTTATTCCAATTTAAAAGTTTGTTCCACAGTAATATTAGAAGATTATTCCAATTTAAAAGTTTGTTCCACAGTAATATTAGAAGATTATTCCAATTTAAAAGTTTGTTCCACAGTAATATTAGAAGATCTCACTCTTGAATATATCATTTGATTTTAAACAGATTTATTATAATAAAATACAGCCTATAATGCCGCAAATAAAGTGCAAACTTACTACAGAGTACACTCAGTATTGCTGAGAGGTTCTATGTCCCCCAGGGTACTGCCGGAACGTCCGTACCCTGGTACCAATTTTAATGCTCTGCTGGTGCTATCTAATATGCCGGACCGTACCTCGCCTACTCCACTAACGAGTCGCGACTCCCTAACCCTAACCCTAACACTAACCCTAACCCTAATCTTAACCATATCAGATAGTTACCAAGGTACGTTCAGGTATACCGTGGCAGTTTCCCTCCCTCCCCCCTCCTCGCGCACCTTGATCGCTGCCTTCAAGGCCACGTAGCGGCGCGGCAGTCAGCGCTCGTCATCGCCGTGTGGGCCGTGTAGCTCCTCCCAACCCTCACTCCTATCTCCGTCCCTCCCTCCATCCTTCTCTCCCTACCTCCATACCGCCTTCCTCCCTACCTCTCCCTCCCTCCCTCCCTTCCTCCCTCCTCGCGCACCTTAATCGCTGCCTTCACGGCCTCCTCCACGTAGCATCGCGACAGTCCCGCTCCCGTCATCGCCGTGCGGGCCGTGTAGCCCCTCCCTCCCTCCCT